CGGTTCTCCGAATTCCTGTGGCTGGTTTAAGCCTGAGGTTGCACGTCGTGGTTAGCAGCCCCGTGACTTCACATCCGAGCTACTGTGGAAGCTCTGGCAAATGCCGTCTCGCCCCGATGACCTCAGACCCTTCGCCTGACCGGGCTGCTATAAAATGGCTTCACCTGATAATTTGAGGCAGTTTGTCCTGAATCATTTCCATAAAGATAAGTTACGGTATGGGAACCACCAGAATTCTTCCCTGAGCCACAGTCAGGCGAGGAATTAATTGCGCTTTGCTGTCGTGGTGTCCCATTATGTCTGAATCAGCTGCCGGCCCCGACGGAAATGCGGAGCACGAGCAGCATAAACTGAGATATTTTCCGCAGGGAATATTCTGGGGAAGAGATCGGGAGCTGGGGAAAGTGCTCTGGGGAAACGTGGTCAGGGGCTGCCTGGGTTCCTGTGCTCCCCCCTGGACAACGCCACAGCCAGAGCCCAGGGCTGAGCAGACCTCACTTGAGAAAACATTTCTGGTGGCCCTGGAAAGGAGAAACTCTTCCTCCTCGCCGAGGAGGATCCCTGAGTTACCCTAAGAAGGTTCTCCAGGAATTTATGAGCATTTTGCTCCCACTATTTAGTTCTAAAAGGCAGAACGAATGTACAAGCCTGCTCCCGAGGGCTGTGAAGGGCTCCCACCCAGCCCCACGCAGTCTGCAGGAGGAACCTCACCTACCCAAGGAGCACAACGCGTCGGGCGCGCTCCCAGGCGGGGAGCAGAGCGACGGGGCAGCACTTGAGGAGCTCCCAGGTAAGCCTGAGCAAGGCAGGAACCCAGCCCCGGCACAAAATTCACTCCCGGTGCCCAGGCTGCCCAGAAACACCGGGGAAATCATCAAGTGGCAGAGGATTCCCCACCTTTGATACGAAGCGTTTGCACCTACTCGGGGAACACCGTGCTTGGGGTGGCAAACACGGAGAGGAGAAACCTCACGGTGCTCCACGCGTGTCCGGCAGCAACAGGGCTGCACAGCCCGGGAGCTCAGCCCCGGCACGGTGAAGCAAAGGGCTTCTGGTGGGGCCCTGCCTGGTGCAGAAGCATTTCCCTTCAGACCATTGAGCCCTCGGGACTGGGTGCCCCATCTCCCCGAGACCCTGCCCCACCACGGCTCGGGCTCCGTGGATCCCCCCGGTCTCACGCTGGGGAGGTTGGGGGATTGGGCCCTACCGATCCCACCGAAGGGCAGCGAGGGCAACGTCACGTGCATCAGGGTGTCGTTGCCGCAGAAGCCACCGCTGCTGGTCCGCTCCAGGACCTGGTTCACCACCTGCGAGGGAAGCAGAGAAGGCAGACAGGGGCCTCGCACCCTGGCTCGATGGCAGCGCTTGTCAAACCTCACCCAACTGATCCATCAGCCTGGCGTGCCCAGAGCAGCTGCCTCAGAAGACCCTTCTAGAGCACGCCACGGGGTGTTGGTGAGGTGGGCACCAGCCCTGCTACCCCATTTCCCTCACCCCCCTTTCTGCTCCATGGTCCTCACGCACCTTGCTGTCACAGGAGAAGACGTAGAGGGCCAACGGCCGCGGCCGTGCGTTGATGAAGTCGATGGCTTCATCCATGCTGGCCACGACGACGATGGGCAGGATGGGCCCGAAGATCTCCTCCTGCATGATGGGATCAGAGGGCAGGACGTCCGCCAGCACCGTGGGAGCTGCGGAGAAGGGTTACGGCAACGCATCACCCGGCGCACGAGCACGGGCGGTCCCACGAGCCCCAGGCCCCGTGCCCTCACCGATGTAGCGCTCCTTCTCGTCCGTCTGTCCTCCGATGGCCACGCGCCCGCTGCACAGCAGCGCCCGGACGCGGCGGAACTGCTTGTCCCCCACGATGCGGCCGAAGTCGGGGGACTCCCGAGGGTTGGAGCCGAAAAACTCGGTGATGGCCTCGCGCAGGAAGGGCATCAGCTTCTCCTGCATCTCCACGCTGCACAGCACGTAGTCCGGGGCCACGCAGGTCTGCCCGGCGTTGAAGAAGCGGCCCCAGGCCACCCGCCGGGCCACGTTCTGCACGTTGCAGGTGTCGGACACGTAGCAGGGGTTCTTGCCCCCCAGCTCCAGCGTCACCGGCGTCAGGTGCTTGGCGGCGGCTGCCCTGATGATCCTCCCCCCGGAGGGGCTGCCTGTGGGG